TTTAATCATCAAGAAAAATATCAAGAAAAAACCTATTTTGCTTCATATTCAATCGACAGTGGATGCGGTGGATGTGAGCAGACGTGGTAAGAACTGAGGACATGTCGCTACTGCACGGTGTAAACAAGGTGTAATCAGGTGTAATACGCATTCGTGTGCGGTACGGACGTGAGAGCGGTAAAGCTACGTTTATTATGGCGATTGCACGCTTTTAGCGGTGAACAGCTGACTCGACGAATGTTTTCCCGCGTGGTATATCATAACGCGTGTACACACGACTCGTGACGAGTCCTCGTTTAGTCGATCGCGAGCCTACTGTTTTTGTTGACATCCGTCGGCCGCGGGAAGATGTGTATTGACGTGTCCTAATGACGTAATTGGTCGAAGAGGCGAGACGGCTCTCGCGAATGTCCACGTATGTACGTGTCAAATGCGATCAATCGCGCGTCTCTCATATAACCGCGTGCCCGACAGGGCAATGAGCACGTTAAGGTCACCGGCGTTTATAGGTTTGTAATGAGGCCTCGCGTTTGAATTCTCGTCGAAGCTATGAAGTCCAACGGGAGGATGGTGTTCTTGCCGTTCTTAGCGTTGTTTCTCCTGAGCACCGCGGAACTGGAGACTGGCTCGAAAAAACGCGGCGATATCACGCAGAAATCGAATACTAATGAAGAAACGGAGGAGGAGGTCGCGATCGAAGATATTGAGAATGCCTTCGAACAACTGCGCGAGCTGAGTGCTCTTCGTGATACAATAATGAAGCTCGTACCGACGTCCGATCCGATTTACGAGAAGATCAACAAGCAAACTGGTAAAAAGGAAGATGGAGAAAGCAAAATGGAACCTGCCAACAAGGAGACCCTGGAAAATCCAGGAACAAGGAATGTATGGATGAAGACTATGATAGCTCAGACAAAAGATACAGATTCTATAGTTTTAAATGAGAGACCATTGGATGAAGAGGATATGGAATCCTGGGAAGCTCAAGAGCTGTACGAAACGCTCGAAGAAGAAGTCCAAGAGCCATTGTCAGTGGAACAACAAGCAGGTACATCAAATTTAGAGATGCTTTGTTCTTATCAGATGACACAATGACATTTTATTTATGTTATTAATGATCTTTGCTGTAATTTTTTTTTTAGCCGAGCAATTGTTCAAGAAAGCAGAAAGTATCATAAATGCGATGCGCGCAAACAAAGAAGAGGGTTATAGATTGCTCGTTGAAGCAGCAAAGTTAGGCCATCGTGAGGCAAAATCTATATTGACATGGGCAAGATTACTTGGGTCTCCCTTAGGTTCGACTACTCTGGAAGTAGCTATTAACGACATACCTAATATATTTAAAATATTCAAGGAACTTGCAGATACTGGACTCCCATCTGCTCACATGGTACGTATATAATAAATAACATTAAGTTTTGGCAGAATTTTATAATCAATTTTATAATCAATCTCTTATATTTGTATATACAGGGAATGGGATTTTTATATGCAATCGGTATTGGTGGAGTTAACGCATCTCAAGCAAAAGCTTTACTTCATTATACTGTAGCTGCTCTCGGTGGTGATGTTCGTGCTCAAATGGTAATGGGATATCGTAATTGGGCAGGTGTAACAACACCAGCCTCTTGTGAACGTGCTTTAGACTTTTATCGAAAGGTAGCAAAGAAGGTCGCAGAAGAAGTCTCGCTGAGTGGTGGTCCAGTAGTTCAACGGGTTCGACTCTTAGATGAGCATGAAAACCCAGGATATACTTCTGGAATTTTTGATCAAGATTTAATAGAGTATTATCAATTGTTAGCCAAAAAGGGCGATACTCAGGCACAAGTTGGACTTGGACAACTTCATTATCAAGGAGGAAGAGGAGTTCCTCTGGATCACGAAAGAGCAGTGCAGTATTTTCAACATGCTGCTGATGCTGGCAATCCAGTAGCTATGGCGTTCCTTGGAAAGGTAAAATGAAATTTTAACAACAATACTTATATCTATAATATTATATACAAAGTTGTATGGTTGTCAAATATATTGCAATTATATGATATTCTTTTCACATGTTTTCTATTTATAGATTTATTTAGAAGGAAGTGAAATTGTTAAGCAAGACAATGAAACAGCGTATAAATATTTCAAAAAAGCTGCAGAGTTAGGCAATCCAGTAGGCCAGAGTGGATTAGGTCTGATGTACTTATATGGAATGGGAGTAGAAAGAAATACTGGTAAAGCATTGCAATATTTCAGTCAAGCTGCAGAACAAGGTTGGGTTGATGGACAATTGCAGTTAGGCAATATGTATTTCAGTAAGTATATATATTTATATTTGCATCATTCTGTCATTCTCTTGTTCACATAAATAATCATCTACTACTTTATAATACTTGAATTTATTTTTAGGTGGTATAGGCGTGAGGCGAGATTACAAAATGGCAAACAAGTATTTTAATTTAGCTAGCCAGTCTGGTCATGTATTAGCATACTATAATCTTGCTCAAATGCATGCTACTGGCACTGGAATGATGAGAAGTTGTCCGACAGCCGTGGAATTAATGAAAAATGTTGCCGAAAGAGGAAAGTGGAGCGACCAATTGATGGTCGCACATTCTGATTATAGAGATGGCAGAGTGAACGAAGCATTTCTCAATTACGCCTTGTTTTCCGAAATGGGTTATGAAGTTGCGCAGAGTAACGCGGCATTCATTTTAGATAGAGGAGAAACTGGTATTTTATCAGAAGAGCAAGGCTTGGTTAGAGCTTTGGCGTTATGGGCACGAGCTGCTGCACAAGGCTATTCCGCTGCGCAGGTAGGTGTACAAATCCAAGTTGAAAAATTTACATTTGTACTTCAAATATGAAATGATTTCTATTTTACTTCAGGTAAAACTTGGAGATGCGCATTATTATGGCAGAGGAACAAAAGTTGATTATGAAGTTGCTGCGAGTCATTACCGTTCGGCTTCTGAACAACAGCACAATGCTCAAGCCATGTTCAACTTGGGATATATGCATGAACGCGGTCTAGGTTTAGCTAAAGACCGACATTTAGCTAAACGATGCTATGATTTAGCTGCAGATGCTAGTCCTGATGCGCGAATACCTGTAGCACTAGCTTTGATCAAACTTTCTTTCCTCTTCGGCTTTGATTACCTACAAGAATTCAGTTTAGTCGATCAATTGGATAAATGGGATCAATTGCTTGGACAAAACTGGGATTTATATCTTATAGGATTTCTTACAGGAATGCTTAGTCTTATTATATACTTCCGCAGACCGCAGCCACCTCCCCCACCGAGACCTGTTAATTAAATTTTGTACTTTCATTCATTTTGTTTCATATATATATATATATATATATATATATATGAATATATATATAGATTTTTCTAGACTAAGCTTGGAAAGAATTTTATAAGAGATTCATATTGGAACATCATTTTTGATAACATCCTTCCTATGGCGCAAGTTGAGTAACCTCGAGTTCAATATTTCAGTGCGTTAAATGTATATATCATAGTAATTTACTTCTAACTCAGAGATTACTCCTAAATTTGTTGAAAGTTATATAATGCCATAACTGATAATTGGTGATTTTTTAATATAAATTATTTTGGTTACTTCTCGTATATTAATGTGTGGACTCTAAGCTTAGTTTCTAGTTTATAAAGTTTCATTATTAAGCTCACACATAATGTATATCATGTGAGTAGGAATATTGTCCATAAATGAATGGGTTTGTTACGACATATTTAGAATTCCCTCTTTTTGCAAAACAGTCAAATTTATTCAAATTCACAATTCTGTATATCATATTTTCTTATAAATATAAATATAACTTTCTTATAAATTGAACTATCTTTTCAATAATCTTATTTCATAATAGTTTTGTACAATTAAATCACTTATATATATAAAACTTTTTTCAGTGACACGTTTGTAATTATCTTAGATTACACATGATGATACATATTAAAATATTACAAAATATTGCTGTAACATAAAATACGAATTAAAAGGTTGTTGATTATTTATCTAATAAAATTGTTTTATTGCCAAAGAATTATTACGATTTTTGTGCACGATATTACAGTGGCTGTGTAAATAATTGTAATTGTGCAAATAGATTGGATTGTATATATGCTAAAGTTGAGTGAAATGAAAATTTTAGAAATTTTAGAAACGTGCAACTGTCATGGATATATATATATATATATATAT